TAATGAAGTTTATTTCAGTTCACTTATGTGCTTCTTTATCTCAGGAAAAAACCAGCAGATTAAAATAGAAGATACACTTATGCGATTCACAAATAATTTTGGGACCAGCATAAAGACTTACCCTATAATGAAGCAAGTTTAGAACTGAATTTGTTCTCAGTTTTCTGACAGATATTTTTGCTAATAATTTAAAGACACAGAAAATAATTACTGTCAAATGGATTTTTCAGTTTAGTGTATTTATGTACTTCTTTATTTGTAAGAATAATGTGTATATAAATTCTAGCATTTTCATACTTAAATATTGAAATTCCTAAATTTTGCACTTGCAGCTCTAGCTAATGTAGCTGTTAACTATTGTGAGTGCTGGTTCTGGAATAAGTTCAGTGTTACTGCTGCTATTTTAATAGCTCATTTTCAGTTAGAATGGGTTTTCTGCTTTGATAAAAGAGGGGAAATAACTTTCAAAAGATGTATGATTGAATTCTTTGTCTTAGCAAACAAATCTCACACAACTGCTGTATCATAGTATGTTTACAATGTAAAGTCTGTTAAGCTTTTTAAAGCAGAAATTGCAATAACATTTCCAAGTTTTGTTAGTATGCAAGGTATGGTACTTTCATAATGTTTGTTCACATATATGAACAGTACTATACACAGTACTATACAGTACTATACACATATATAAACAGTACTATACAACAGTTTGTTGCCAACTACAATTTTGGGAAAAAAATCACAACTATGTTACTAACACAGTTGCCTTTGTAGAAGCAAGGAGTTAAGTCCTATAGACTACTGCTTCTGCAACATAAGTAGGGGGTTCCCAGTTCTTTCATCTTTCTTTTATATTGAATCATTAGGGTCTAGGTTTTGATTTTGTCAGGTAGGTATCCCAAATCTCTGTATTTGGATCAAGTGCTTTTTCAGCATCATACAGAAGTTTCCCTTCACAGAGCTTAGTATTAAGCTCATAACATACAGTTATTGTGAGCTATAGGAAGGAAGTGATTTATGGAAAATGTCTCCTTATCTTTTTTTTCCCTGAATACTAGCAGTCTAAATTTATGGTATGATGAGGACCCAAAAATCTGTTTTGCAGTTTTTACTTCAGAAAAATGTTGTAAAACATAAGCTCTAAATAAATCTGCAAAAGCAGAAAGAAAACATAACTATTTCCATAAATCATGGCCTTTGTCTCTCAGTGCTTCAAGCTACAGAAATTTATTTTTGACTGTGGAATGTGAGGTGTCTTACTGCCTTTGTCTTGTGCCTTATAATACCCTTTTTAGTTGATCTAAGTGTCATGGATGTGTGGATGGTTTTATTTTGCTTTGTTGAGAGTAATGCCACAAGCTGCAAGGCACTAGTGAAGTAGTCCTCCTCTTGCTATTTGCTGTTTAGAACTGCAACCTCTGCCTCAGTGTTAATCGAGGTAATTTGGAAGTTTGCTGCTGACTTTGGAAAATGCAAACAGAATCGCACTGTTATTTTAGTTGCCTGAGCTCTTTGTATTTTCAGGGAACATTCCCCTTTAATTAGAGCCCCGTATATTGCATGTATTTGCACCTGCAAGCCCCAAACTCTACTTAAACTGCCACCAATACACGGCAACTTAAAAATGGGGGAAAAATCAGTAAAGTGATCATCAAAGTTAGGCAGGAAGAATCTGCTCTTTCAGCACAACTATTTTACAGTGTTCTGGAGCAGGGTGGTAGCCCTAGTATGTGTAAGCTCATAGAATCATGGAATCACAGAATGGTTTGGGTTGGAAGAGACCTTAAGGATCATCCAGTCCAACGTCCCTGCCACTGGGGTCTCTCAAAGACAGTTTTTCAAGAAAAAGAAAGCAAAAGGCAACAACTAGAAAGTATGATGATAAGCAAATAGAAATGTCTTAGTCCTGGATCATTCTGCCACTTGTTAGAAGAGTTGGTGAGGGTAAGTAATTGGCTGTCTCCATTCCTGGACAAAGCTGTATCTCAAAACCGGAGAAAGCACAGCTCCTTGTAACTTTTGTCAGTCACCAGCCTCCCATTTCTAGAGCTGCAATAACATGGGCAGTAAAGGACTTCCCAGTATCTCCAATAGTGGTATCAGTTATGATCAAATACAAAATAGACACATACAAATACACTATCAAATAAGAAAGGATCTCATTTCAGACAGTCTTCAAATCTAGTCTATGAAACTGGTTTTCCTTAAAAATCTATTACTTCATTTTGAGTCTTCATGCTGAAGTATCTCCTGGCTTAAGCAAAATAGCTCTAAAAATGGTAGGACAGGAGATATTATATATATATATGTATATGTATATATATATTTAACTGCTGGTGTACCTCACTGGAGGGAAAATATGTTTGAGGAACATAATTATTATATAAAATAATAATTTTCCCTTTGAGGGAAAAGGCTCCCAGCAGAGAAGGAATCTTCTGAATATTTTTAATGTCTATTTAGTTACTCAAATAATCTAATGATATTAAATTTTATTTATTATTCAGCTCAGAGTTCTTCATGTAGCTGATTCTTAGGGTTTTAGCCTGTAGAGGCTCAGCTGATATATAGCAGCTGATATATAAGTATCCAATCTCAGCTGTATGTACTGGCCCTGCTGCAACTAGTGTTTTGCACATCACACTTGTTTATGTGTATACACATATATGTATTTTGCATGCTGTAGGTATTCAGCATCTGATGGCACAGTGCTCTGAATGCTGCATAAATATCCTTTGGAGGGGTTTATCCTCCCTTGCTACACTGCTAGTTCTGACCATGTACATACCCTGCTGTACTCCCAGATGTGTCTGTCAGTCCCTCTCTGGAACAAGTGAGCCATTCCAATTGTATGTGGGTACCAAATAGTTTAAAGTCAGCTTGCAAAACTGGGCATATGGCTGGACAGAAGGACCTTTAAGAAGAAAAGTCACAAGTATCTGGAGACAGAAATGATAAAACATGGCTCTTGAGAGCTGCAAGAGATAAATGTAATTTTTGTGGGGAAAAAAAACTTAAACAAGTGAAAAGTAGGCTAACCAAAGTTGTTTTGAACCAATAAGATTAGGTACAGTAACAGGTAGTAAAGGAGAGTTAACTGGAATGGAAATTAGTGCAGAGAATGAAGAGGTGTTTTAGAGCAGATCTGTATCATCAGAGGCTCAGTGGAACCAAATCAAGGAAAATCAGTTCTCAGAAAGATTAGAGCTAAATGGCTGTGTTTTGATTTTAGCCAGAGAGACAGAAATGCAATGGGTAGATGTCTCCTGGATAGTGGAAATGAGGTTGCTCTCTGCAGCATGCCAGAGAAACTTCTATCATTTGCTCCTCATGGAGCAGTTTGTGTTCAGCTCCTGGTGTTTGTTGTGCTGAAAAGTACCTTGTAAAAATCTATTAACCTGGCCTAAGATTTCCTTAAAATTAAAAAGTCAATAGACCACTTGTGATTGTACTTGGTGCTTTTCTCCAGTTCCTCATGGAATTTTTTTCTTAGAGCTCCTAGATGGTCATTCGCTTCTTGTAGAAGACATGGCACGAGCCTTGCCATGACATCAGTGCTGGGATGCTGCTTTTTCAGTTTAAATCTCATCTTTTCTGTGATTTGTGAGTATTCTGACAAGATACCTACACTGAAATTCTCACGCTTTTATTTTCCAACACTAAGTATTGTTGTTATTTCTGAGGGTTTAATAATAAATCTCTGGATATTATTAAACCTTCTAAAAGAAGAAACTTTCCATGTCAATGCAAAGCCAATGAAATTTCTGAGAGCTCAAAATCAAGTTTGTTCTGAATTTCAGACTTGACGCAAATGTAGGTCTTGATAAGGCTGGTCAATGTTTGTTTAGTCTGGAAATCTTTGGCACTGAAATAAAAATTCCTTGTAGTAAGTGTGACGACAGTACTTATCCTGCCTGTACATTTCTAGCTTATTTTTCACTACTTCTCTTGTGCTCACTATCTGCAAGATAAATTGTAACTAATTTCTAACTCGATTTATCTTGAAAACTTCTCTGTCATTTGTAGTACCATGGGATTGATTCTTCTTCATACACGATAGCAGGACCCACCGATCTGTGGTCTGCAGTGACAGACAGCATTCAAGAGAAGGGTTTATTAATGGTAAGTAAAATGCTTACAGCTGCATAGTATAGCTGGATTACGTGTCTGCTGTCTCCTGGGGTATTCCTAGAATAGGTCAATGTCCATGCACAAATAGCCATTTTCTCTAATAAAGGGGTTTGCTGGAAAGTGCCTAAGCCGCACCGGGAGCTGTGAATTGCAGCAACTGCATATCAGTTAGACACAAATGCAAACATCAGTGAGGCATGGGACCTGCCCTACTGCCATTACATGACCATAATTTATGTTCCTTTACATACCTTTCCAGTCCATTTCTTCAGTTCCCTTTCAGGTTAGCATTGCTGATGGCACTCACCTGGTTTTGATCTTACTGCTAAACACCTACCTAGAGAAGCTGTCACTGAAGATGCCTCCACTTCCACAGAAAGCCAAAAAGGTGTTGTGCACCTAAGCAGTTGGCTGGATGTAAGCTTAATTCAGAACCAGGGTATATATTTTCAAATCCAGGATCTATCCATTTCTAAATCGAGGTAATTTTTCTGCACTTGACTATGAAGGGAATGCCAACAGAAACATATTTTCCTTTTAAAAAGAAGCAATCAAGCAAGAATGGGCTTCTGCCTGAGGCCCATCATTGCAGAGTAATTCCCCCACCCCTATTAAACTGAGTCCTGACTGTAGTTTCAGTGGAACATCAACTATTGCATTGAATTACAGGACAAAGAACATAATCTCAAAGCTGCAAAACCATTGCCACACACACACACAGACTCTGTACAGAACTGCTCACATGATGAAGTTTATCACTGCATGATACCGTTATCCGTTAGTAGATATACATCAGCACAATGGCAATAGTGTAACTGATACAGTCAGAAAATATCCTGAGACATCAATATTTTTCTTTTTGGTTTAGAAATATGATGGGGTATGTACACTTGGTGTTCCTATCTACCTTCCTCTCAGTTTCCATGACATCTGAAACATGTAAGTCACTTTTTACAAATACTTTCTGATAAGATTTATTCTGTAGAAATGTGTAAGCTGTTCCCAAATTGGTATTTTTTAAGCCTAAAATTAGCTAGCTTACCTCAAGTCACAAGTTACACCTTAAAAACTAGCTTTATGGGTTTTCTACTTCTGCTTCCTGACATCTCTGCAAGCATAAAGAAAAGGGTCTTTTTTAAATGATTTAAGAGTAGCTGGTGTTCCAGGCCCCAGCTGGACAAAGTATCCAAGACCATCCTTAAATTGCACTGAACAGGGCATATGCATATGTAGTTGAACCAGGGACATAACTGGGTGCTTTCCTCATTTCTATGTGTTCCCTCTCCTCCAATGTGTTCCTCCTTTGGTGGGGCAACGCTGCCTTTCCTGACACCCCTGATACATCCCACTGTCTTCGCAAGGCTCATTGGTCAAAATGCTGTTAAAATGATGGGATTTGGGGGTACTTATAAGTGATGTGGCTCATTTAGGTGCCTAAATTAGTAAGTGAGATGACATGCAATGTCACTGGAGACAGACTGCCTCTTTAGAAAGACCCAGAGCAGAAGCCAAGTGTTTTCCATGTGGAGAGACTCACCATCTGATTTGTGCACCTATGTGTTTAAAGCCAGGCAGTGGCAATACTTCCACAAAGAGTCATTTTTAATAGATATTTTCTATTTTGGTTGGCTTTTTGGTTACCTACTCCTCTCACTTTCATGCTCCCTTATCTACTGAAGCTCCTCTGCTAATCTCCATCATTGTCCACTCTCCATCCTTGCTTATTCGCTCATCTTTCTCTTCTCGAAAATGCAATTTAAATTTTCGGATTAGTGTTTCTGTTTTCAGCAGCCAGTTCACTATTCAGGTGCCTGGGCAGTTAGATATATGTTAAAATTGCTTGATTCAAGTTTCTCTGGACCAGTTTCAGTATTCAAAAGTAGAAGTATACTCAGTTAATAAAAATTGTGTCTTACTCCCAGCTTGTTCTTTTTTTTTGTTCTAATTGAGCATGTGTGGTTTGTTTTTCTAAGCTTCTTATTTGTCTCTTATTCCTTTCTGGCATCTTTTCACTCTCCCATCAGACTCTTCCTTTCAGTCTATTACATTTCTTTCATTTTTTTCACATTTTCATGAACTTCAGAGAGAAGTTCTTCTGGATTTTGTCTTTCTTGTTATTATTGATCTTATCTACGGGTTTTCTCCTTCTATTTTTTTTCTTTCACAAAAAATTTCTATTGATTTCCTTTTTCTGTATTAAAAAGGCAGAACAAGAGCTCTTCTTTGTGGTATAAATAAATATTTATTATAATGAAATAAGGAAAGCTACCTTCATAGTACAACATAAAACCTGTACTTTTTGTGTTTAAATTCCTGTTTTGATTAAAATCAGCAAAAAAATCAAGCAAAAATTTGCTTAAGAAGTTCATTTATTATTTATTATTTATTTATTATTATTGCATTAAAACTTGGTATTTTTAGTGCATGTCTGTTTTGAATCTGGGGGGGGTTTTGTTTGTTTCAATTCCAAACAATAATTATTATATTTGCAAACAAATAGCTCCATAACTCAAGATAAACAAATTTTTTCTTGGCAAAAGTCTAGTGATAATCAGTTTGCCATACATCAACTCTGAAAACTCAAGGAAAGTAGAGGAACATGACTGACTTACTGATCCAGAAATGCCAAGTTCTCCTCTGTCTTAATGGGGCTATGGTTTAATTAATCTGAGATTTTTATATTTTGTTCATTTGTAGTTGATGCAATGGAAGGTGAGGCTTTAGTTATAAAATGTCCTCGATGGAGTTCATCTGTGAAATTCACCTGGTATCACAGGGATACCAACAAAATAATTCCTGAAGAAGGAGAGGGATCACAAGTATTTTCCATAAATCGCTTTCTTTGGTTTCTGCCAACTTCTAGAGAGGATACTGGAAACTACACTTGTGTCGTACATTTGTAAGTGCAACATTGAAAAGTGAAAGGCATAAGACTGGAAAGAAACATGAATGCTTTAATAATATGTTCTAATTATTATGTTTGAAAATGATGTCATGTTTTCATGGTATATACCAATTCATGTAACTTTTCATCCTGCAATCACTATTTTTATCTCAGGTCATTAAAATCAATCTGTGACTGAATACAATACAATAATCATCCATATGTTTAAAGAAGATACTTTTGTTACAAATATTTAATATCCCATATAAAAATGCTATCATTGACATACCTTTATTCCTTTTTTAAAGTTCAAATAATCGCACAAAGCCGTTCAATGTGAGAGTGCAGGTGCATCCCTACAAGCAAGGAGTGTGCTTCCCAAGTCAGATTCGTTACCCAAATGACACTGGAAGAGGAAAAATTGTTTGTCCTACAATTGACAATTATAAGGATGCTACTATCATCCAGTGGTATAAGGTAAATAAAACCCTGATAATTGTAGTCCAGTTTACTGTAAGAAGCTATTTGCAGCCAAATAAAGAAAGTTTTCTTTTCCAGGACTGCAAACCTCTTCAGGGACAGAGATACTTCAAGGGAGACAAATATATTTTTATTAACAACCCAAGAAAGGAGGATGATGGTTATTACACTTGTCGATTTGTCTACACTCATGAAGGAAACACGTTTAATGTATCAGCAACAAGGATTTTCATAAGTAAGGGTAAGAAAGACAGTCATTTTATAGCTTGTTAAGATAAGAAAGACTGATGTCTACATAAAGCAAAGTAAGCCACTTTTGTACATTAAAGAGTAAAAAGAGTTTCTGTTGGTGTATCTTCTTAATGAAACTTTAGATCAGCTTTTTTGACCTGGTGACATTCAGCATTTTGCTAAAATTCTCAGATGATTCTGGTTACATGCTGTGGCTGGTAAAGCTGTCTGGTAGCACTTCTGAAATGAAAGGTCTCCTCAGTGGGATGCCATAAAACTCTGCTTTCTATTTGTTCAAGGGGAGAAGAATTTGTAGCTAGGGAGGATTATCTGGTGATCAGAGAATCACTGATGTGCTGATGGCCTACAGCTCAATACCTTCTGGCCCATCTTGATAATCTAGCATTTACTTGCTAGTAGGGCTGAAAAAGACTTTTAGGTTCGTCTTGAATGAGAAAAATGAGTGAAGCTCACTGATTACTCTCTCTTTGATATTTTGAACATGGCCAATATGGCTGAGGTGTGGGGACTTTGGGGTGCCTCTAGGATGCAATCTCCTCAGGGAAGCTTTGTGTTTGGATGGTGATCAGGGGAAGAGCACGCAGCCATCAGCAGTTTCAGATTGCATCAACTTGCAAAACTTCAAAGTGTGTCTCCAGTTCTGTAATCAGATCAGCGGAAAAAGAGTCAGAAAGATGTTTGAGGGGGAAGAGTTTGGTTTGGGTTGTTGGATTGTTTTTTGTTGGTTTCATTTTTTTTCCCCAAAATAGTTAATGTTCATTTGCAGACTGACATCAGACCTTTTCGCTGTGGGGAGGCACCCCGCTTGTGGGCAGAATGCAGGCCTTGAATTTGGTTTTCGCTTCTGTGCCTAGATCACACTAGCAGAGTTTTTTCTGGTTATTCTAAGCTGGACAGAAGACAGATTTGAGCTGAGACCCACTGCAGTAGCTTAGGAGGTGTTGTGCCTTTCCTCTCTCTCTTCCCTGTAATACTCTGTTGGTCTACATGACACTTCTCTGCTTAACACTTAATCTTTGTTTGAATGTAATTTCAATCAAAACTTCTCTGACTGGTCAGGAATATTGCTGTATCTGGGCTATAATGAAAATTGTTGTGTTTTATTCAGCACAAATGCATCCAAGTTTACAAAAGCTTTTTTAACATCCAGGCAGATTACTTTATTTCATAGGATCATAGGATAGTTTGGGTTGGAAGGGACCCAAAGAACTTATATCTTTCTCTCTTTTTAAAAAACAAAATAAGGAACTGAAAAACACACAAACCTATAACTGCATTTGCTTTTTTTTTTTCTACTCAGCAGCTAAAACAGTACTTGAGAAACTGAATATTTTCCTTGCTCCTTCTATGTACAAATGTAAACATTAAAGAAAAGGGACAAAATACTTAAGCTATTAACATATTCAAACTCCTCAGGAATATTTGATCATAGGAATAAAATCAGACGATCCCAACAGACCTGTGAAACATGGCTGCAGTGTTAGTTTGCAATTCGGCTTTGGGATCCGAATATATTAACTGTACAGGTTACAATCATTATCTTACAAAATACTTTTTCACAACTTTCTAATGTATGCTTTCTTTCTCTTCTTAATTTCTAAAGCAAAGCACTCCCCTCTACCTCCTCAAATTTTATTTCCAAAAGATAAAGATGTAATAGAAGTGGAGCTTGGTAAGTACGGATTTTAAATTCTTTTAAAATTAACATTTCTGGTGGCCTAGTGTAAATGGGAATCTTAAAGAAGATTTAATAATGGAATTCTTCATTACATTTTTGCACCATAATGTTTACTATATTTGATTCACACCAGGCACAATGATGTGAAGTTAGATATAACTGATGGGTTATTTAGGTATTAAGCAGCAATTTAAGAGGATTTAAATAACCTATTTTACCCTTACTGGGATAGATGGGGATTATTCTCATGGTCAATTATTACATATCAGTTGAAAGGATGACAGCTTCCATCCACTTCAAAGAGGGCTTTAGCTAAATCTGTTGAAACTGCTTGATGGTACCCTTAAGAGAGAAGGATGGACTATTCTTGCAACTAGAGATGCTCCTTGTCACTTGCAGTTCCTGTCTGGAGAAAACAGCTATGACTTTGTTGAAGAATGAAGGAGAGCAAGGGACTGGCCACTGGCCATGATGCTGTGGAGCACTGCCTAGCTCATTTCCACATTGACTAGTGTTGAGCAAACCTGTCTGGTTGGAAGATACTGAGAGGGCTGAAAGATGGGACCAAGGGGTGAACTTAGAAATAGCAGGTTGGAGAGCCTGTGATGCAGAGCTTGCTCCCTGGCTCCCTTTCATTTAAGACTATAGATGTTCTCAGTGGTTCAGATTCACTCTGCATAACTTGCAGCATCAGAGTGAGGTGCTTGTGATAGGAGTGAGAACCATCTAGGTTTTTACTATAGTCAATGGAGAAAGGTGGACCTCTCCAGAAAGCAACTGAGCTCTTCTGAAACATAAATAGGTAGTCAAGGATACCTGTGTCCCAGGGCAGGTGGGATGAATCTGGGCCACTGGGAGAAGGGATCGGAATTACCACTCCACTGTTTCTGTCCTACAGCAAGACTGTTGTGGTAGCAGGAGCTACAAAGGAGCCCTGTGTGAGGTGTCACATACTCAGGGAGTTGCCACATTGACTCGCATTCCCTTTCTTTTTAAACTATTTCCTCCAGTTGCTTTGTCACTCAGAATTAGTGCTCCAGGACCACCTTTCTCAAATAAGGTGGTCAGTCTCTAGTGCTCTTTGGGCTCTGCCCACGTCTCTGGGACAGGAAGTAATCTAGCACTGGTTGTAAGGAGCAAATTTACTTCACATTTAAAAACCATTTGCTGTATTGGTTCTATTGTCTCTTATTTGCAAAACTGAAGGGATTTCTCCATCATCCCTACTACCAATTCAGGATGCAAGTTGTAAGATTTGTTAGACTTATCTAAGCCCTGCTTAGATGCAGATTTACATGAAAATAATTTAAAGTGTTTAATTATACCTTTTTCCAGTGCAGCGGTGACTCTTACTTTGGAATATTTCCTAATGTCAAATACTTAATAAGTAATTTTCTGTTTCAGTTTTGCTTGCACTGGTTTACTTTACTTTTGTCCAGCTTGAATAAAATCCAAGATAAGAGTCTGCACACAATACTTATGCAAAATAATATATACTGAAATTAAATTACGTTATTTCTATGTACACTTGTGTGTAAACCAGCATTTACTTTCCATGTCCCTCAAGAGTTGTTTATGTGGGGAAGCATCGCAAGTAAAGTCTACATTGCCTTCATCATAACAAATATAAATAATTCATTTTGTAATCCTTGGTGTTATATTAGATAATTTGTTAAAATTTCCTTTTACTGTTTCTTTTTGAGTCTCTTCTGTGCATCATTTTCTCGGCAGAAAAATATGTCAACATTAGCAAGACAAAACTCACAGGTGGTATGAAGATTTGTAGGAAAATATTTTCGAGGAACATAAAGTTATAATTGGTTTTCATCATGGAATGTTTACATCTCTTTCTCTATCTTGATTAGGTGCTGCTTTATCTCTGAAATGTCAGGCTCGCCTAGGGATTAAGAAGCAGCCAATAGCAGTTGTCACATGGGATGTGGATAACATCCCAGTGAAATACTTAGACTTTTCAAGATTTCATGAAAAAACTCATTTGTAAGTACATATAACACAGAATAATCTTTCTTCTATGGAAACTGTGCCTAGCCATTGAAGCCAGTGGTACCGGCTCTTTCTCTCTCTATTAGTTTTGAAGGACGTGAACAAGAATATTACAGAGAGACCACTTTGCATATTACTGAAATAAGAAATGAAGATCTGAAGGCAAATTTCACATGTGTAGCCGTGAATGAAATGCACAACACAAAGGTCATGGTGATGTTAAAACTCAAACCGCAAGGTGAGGTTAGGATTTTTTTGTTTTGTTTTCTTACACTTTGCACACAGTTGGAAATGTGTTGGTGATTTTATTTTATTATTTATTTCTGTTAGTAAGAAAGTTTCAGCTAGTAAGAAGAAAAAATAGCCTGCTTCCTCCCTGTGTATTCAAGCCAGTGCAAAATTCTCTTTTCCTGGGGTAAATTGTGCTGGGAGGAGGTCGTTACTCAAATGGTATCAGCAAGAGATTAAATATGCAGAGCAGGACAGTGTATCAGCCCTGTGACAAGAACATCCTGTTTCTAGAATATTTCTGCTCCATGACAAATTCCCCTGACTGGAAGGCATGCGATGCACTTGAATTTGAAGCACACTGGTATAGTACAGTCTGCTCTACAAGTTACTCAGGCTGCAGAGGATCCTCTGCAGATGGGATCTGGGCAAGGAACTAACCTCTCCTTTGGTCATAAGCATTACAATGCATTGTGAGGAACAGAGATTCATCTCCTTTTGAGAATCAAACTGTTATTTCTACTGCAGAATCATGGCAGAAAATAGGCAAATTTTAAAAACAAGAGTTTCAGCTGCCACTTTGCTTGCCTTCTCTTCCAACCACATTTACTGTAATGCCTTGGTTTTTGAATGAATATTAAGCAGTGTCACTAATGTCTGCAATGTCTGGCTGTATCCTCTCTCCCCTGAGTGACACTGTGTTCACTGTGTGCCACACAGAGGTGTAAGTAACAGTTCAAAGGCTTTCCCTTTTTTGTTTGTTTGTTTTGCTGTTTGTTTTGTTTTGTTTTTGTTGTTTGGTGGTTTTTTTTAAATATAAAAAACCATCATGATTCTAGTAATTTCTGCCAGAGAAGGGAAATCGAGGTTAGTAAATGGTGGGGACTGTCATGGTCTTCAGCTCTGATGGGAACTTTTTTTAATAGGGATAGATCCCTGAGAGACCACTGTCACCAGCAGCACTGAGTTTGACTCTTATGGCAGAAAATGTTATTGTGTCTGTGAAGGCACAGCAAGAAGCTGTGGTCAGTGGTTTCCTTTCTTATCCCTTCAACTATGCTGAACAACCAAGGACCTTGAGAAGAAATCCCAAGGTCTTTAAGAGGGATTCGTTTTCTATGAGAGAATGCTGGAAAGATTTTAATCAAGTGTATTGTAATCACAGGGTGTGCACAACTCTGTGTTCTGCAGTATTCTCGACTGTTCATAACTTCCTACAGGATTATGGCTTCAAAGCGTAGACCAATTTCCTTGCAATAGCCTAGGCTAGAAGGGATGTAGGTGAATTATAATAGAGGATAAGTCATCAACCAGCAGGACAGCACCAATTCCCCCCAGAGGAAGGTGGCAGGAGATGTTTAAGTTGTATATTACTAAATGAGTGCAAGTGTACCATCACTCAGGAAGCTGGAAACACATCAGTTCTGCACTGAACTGTCCAAGTGTGGGAGTGTACTTGCACCGAGAGGAAAGGAAGCTGAGTAGCAGTTCCTGCTCACTCTTGTCCAGGCAATTTACGGGCCACATATTACAAACTATATGGTGGAAAAAGTGTATTTTATTGTCTATGTTCATGTTGTAGACAACTTTTATTTTATTTTTTATCCATAGGTCTTCAGTAAATGTTCATGAAAGCTCTTGTCTGTGACACCCCTTGCTGCTGCCTGTTTTGTGTGGATATCTGTCCCCTTCTGCCTGTCACTGTTATTCGCAAGATGCCTGCTTCTGCTACTTAGCACTGTTGGTGTAAGCAATGCCACGTTCAGAAACTGTTGTGCTCTGCTTCAGTTTGCTCTGCTCGCTCCTCACACAGCTGACCAATGTTTATGCTAAAACAGTGACAGCTTGCCTCTGAGTATAATAAAAATGTTTTATTTTTATTATAAAAATAATATGTGGGTTTTGCTTGTGCCTTGCATCTTGTAAATATGTAATAAAAATGTGTACTCTACTTATTTTTTGTGTTTTGTTTGTTTACTTTTAATGGAAAAAAAAAACGTTGAGTTTTTTTTTTCAAAGATGTGGCTGTTTCTTAGTATTTCCCACTGCACACGAAGTGTGTATTCTACCTACTATCCTGTTAATGTGCTTTTTAAACAAATTCCTGCTTCATATTCTGGTCTTTTTTTTCAGGGCATTCAGTATGGGTTACATTATCATTATTTGTAGCACAGATCTGGGATAGGAAGTGACAGATGAACAGGTTTTATGATCTGGATGAGGGGATTGAGTGCTC